TTTTGGAGGTTATGGGAGAAGGAAGACATGAGTAAATACAGGGGTGGGCAGAAATAGGTTTACAGTTGTGAGTACAGGAAACAGTTTATTCTTGTATTATTACTTTTTAATTATTGTATTATCTAAGTGAATAATTGAAAGCATACCTTTACCCATCCCTGTATAGTACACAATATTTTAAAATGTAATACATGTATAATACATAACTGATATATCTAAGAAAATACAATTATTTAAATACTGCTATACAATTTATAGAAAACCAGTCAGAACTATTATCCAGTTATTAAGTAATTCTGTCCCAATAACAGGTAAAGTTTTGGTTTTGTAGAAGACATATTGCAAATTCTTTTAAAAATATTTTATTCTGGAGTTTTTGTATGAAACATTATTTGGATACTAATTTATATCAGTGTTTTGGCAATTAAATAAAATCTTTTGGATTTTGATTTCTTGCTCTGGAGTTTCAAATAAAGACTGTGACTTACAGAAAACTAACTGCACTATAACAGTGTATATAATATACATTGACAAATGGAAGCTTAATTATAGTCTGTTTATCTTTATTGAGTTAGAGTACCATAATTATTCTTTGCATCTCAGGTCTTTATATAAATAAGCAGTACAGTTTCATAATTCAAAGTAATATTGACTGAGAATAATTTTCCACGAGATTTGGTCTTGTTTTGTTTTATCGTAGAAGGATTATGCTTTGTATCTTTAATTTTCAGTACTATGGCGTAAGAAAATTGGGGACTCTTAAAAATACTGAGACCCAAAGAAAGGCACCCACACCATAACCACAAAAACTCCTTGTACTATGAAACAAAAGATCTCCTTATAATAACTTTGAATGTGCCTGGCTTCTTACCCAATTGTAGCCAGGGTAGTTGATTAAAAAATCACCCCCCTATAATCTCTACCTGACGATTTTAGGTGAGAGAGAGTATCTTCAGGAAATGAGATACATTTGTTTTACTAAGGCCAATATTCTGCATTTGTTTTACTAGTATTATTCAGTCATCTGCAGATTACTCAGTAATTTGAGTTGTGCTAATAGCATAGAAATGGAGAAATGACGCACCCTCCCCCTGTAATTCTGAACTAAGCTAGTATTTAATTCTATACGTTTTAAGAAGACAAAAATCTGTTCCTTTCAGGATACTAAAATAATATATGCTCATTAGTCTAGTGCAATGTATGATGTAGATCAGAAAAACAGCCAAATAATGAAGAAACAGTTAAAATAGATTCATACTTGTTTGCTTACTTTGATACTTTATATATTTTTGCATTTATAGTTGCTTTCAACATAGCTTAAGAAGATATTTTCCTAGTGCAGCAATATATTTTCCTTTTGTGGTTTTGGTGTCTTAAAAAAAGTTGAACACAACCAAAAGTTTGGTTCAGTGGATATTGCTTTGGCCTGTGGACTCAAGGGTCCCAGATTAGATTCTGATCAAGGGCATGTACCTCGGTTGTGGGCACATTCCTAGTAGGGGGTGTGCAAAAGACAGCTGATAGATGTTTCTCTCTCATCAATGTTTCTAACTCTCTATCTATCCCTCTCCCTTTCTCCCTGTAAAAAAATCAATAAAATATATATTTTTTAAAAAGTTGAACACTATGATAGAATGAATGACTCTTGCTCTAAAATTCTCTGGTTAAGGACTGGAGATCCATACTGTCTTCATGATTTAAGTTCCCTGAAATTGCTGAAGACTATGTTCATTTTGATTGACAGCTACAAGCAGGCTCCCCTTGAAAGGGATTGCACTTTTCTGTGCTCCCATGGCCAACTTTTAATTTTAACTTTTTGTTCCAGGCTTTCAAATGAAGATAGTATCTAATAGGATAAAGATTACACCCAATAGCCTCTATAAAGAGCCACTCACAAATGGAAGTATTTGTGTTCTTATTCATCGATGCATGCTATTATCAAGTTGATAAGCTTTGTGATAGGTATATAATACCATTTTTTTCATTCTGAGTTAAAATCAATTCAGCGACCTATGATGTAAGTATTTTAAGTACTTTGCTCATTTGCAGATGATCTAAATTCGAGAAAAACATTTTGAAATCTACTTCAATAATAGCTTATCTGAATAAGAGAATTTCCAAGTCTATAAACTGCAAATTTTAAAACATATCACCAGTATAGTAAGAATATTCCAGTGTTGGCTTTTCTCCCAACTAGATAAAAGTGTAATGCACAGTCCATGTATCACAGCCTAATCTTTATAGTTGTTAATTTAGCACATAAATCTTAAGAAAAAAATAGCCTTGAAAACAAATAAGTTTATTAAAATAATTAGATATCAGTTTTTGCTTGATAAGAATTAAATAGTTAAGGAAATTGAAAAGATAGAATAGATTGGAGATTAATGAATACTACCAGATCATAAATAAACATGATTATTTGTTCAGTGGAATATTACTGTTAAACTTATGAATGTTTAGAGAAAAGTACAATATCCCTCATTTTCTGGGATGTTTTGTAAATTGCTATCAATATTCATGAATAGTGAGCATCACTTCAGGTTACCTGTGTGAATATAAATTTTTATATAGCCAGTCACTTAGTGTTCATTGGATCATGCTTTTGCATAAGAAATCACTGGTATCTCAGATGCACCAGGAATCCGACCCAGCTCATGAATATTCACACTCACACTGGTCTTTCTGGAAGTAACCAAGTCTATAAAGATGGAAATCTTGTTAGTTTTCAATAATGAGAAATGTATTAGGATGCTGGTCCCAGAACAGTTTTACAATTTTACTGTTTTCATTTTTTTGGTAAATGATACACTTCAATATACACCTTTTTTGACAGAAGCTCTTTCTTTTACATTTAAAATGTCTTGTGTATGGTTTAGCCATAATTGCATTCACTTCCTTTATTTGATGTGGTCACCAAACAGTATCTCCAGACCTTATCTGAAGCTAATTTTTAGTTTAGGTTTGATCATTGATTCTCAAGTACAGAGGTGTCCAATGTGCTAATCTGCTCAGGTAATGGTATATATTTCACACACAAACATACACACAAAATAAAAACACACAGAAAATGTCACCTTTTTGTGTGGAAGGAAAATAATATTCTAAGCCAATTAAATATTTAGTATGCTAAACATAGGGTGCTATAATTACAGAGGCCCATAATTAAAAATTATATACTACTTTAACCCTTGTTTTATCCCACATTATAATACTTCTTTCATTGTAATGAAAGACATATGTTTCAGTCAGCAGTTATAAGTAGATATCAAAATCAATGAGCTGATCCTTATTAGCAACATACTTTAATTATTAATTGAGCTAACTAGAAAAAAAAAACCCACTTCATAATGATAGTAATAAAATATGAGCTACTTCGTATTTCTAACATTGACATTGTCAAACCTCAATCATTTTTTTGGTCAAAATACCTTTTTGTGTGTGTGTGTAAACACATTAAATTGTGATCAATGACAAATACCTTTTTTTTTTTTAATCCAAGTTACACACCAGATTATGTAACACTTGAGAGCAGTGGTCATCAAACTATGCCCTGAAGGGTCCAGTAGGGGTCTTTGAACTGCCTGAAAGTTAGGAATGCTGTCATTATCTGTTTTACGTATTACTAGAATCCCGGAGCACGGGTTCATGCACATTGAAAGGAAATTAATTAGAAGAAATACTTTGATATGGTTATTTGTCCTCTCTCTATAGCAGTATCAACCAAATTCACAATAGACAATGACATATTGAAACACACATGTGATTGGCATGAGTGAGAGCATTATATGTATCCTGCATATGCAAGTCAACTTAGCCTATTATATATTGATATATGTGAAGCACTGCAACTTCTCTTTCAGATAATTGTCAGTAACACAGTAGTAAATATCAACACAAAGCAGTTATTGTAGATCACCCAGGGAGAACAAAGGGTAAAATATTTAACTGCAACAGCGTTTGACTATATTCAGCACAGTGAGAAAACCGGAAGTTATTTTCAAGTTCCACCATTTCTTCTTTTCAGTTGTGTCAAGTTTCTAAGCTTTCTAAATCTTTTTTCCAGTCTAATTAAAAGAAAATAGGATTCTACCAAGTCTATCTACCTACTCCAGGACTTCTGTGAAGATCTAATGAGACGAGGCACAGACATTTGGTTAAATTGTAAAATGTTTGCACCTGGCTGTAATGCAAGTTGGGTTCCTGGGCTGAAGAAACGTCAAGGAGGCTAGTTATAATACTAGAGAGAGGAAACCGGGCATTGCTATACGACATCATTAACTCAGTGCCCAAACGACTGTTTCTGGGCTGGGCTGAGCTGTGAGCTGCATTTTGTGCAATGGGGTCTTGGCAGCATAGGCTGCAGTTTGGTGAGGTGTTGCTCCGGAGTGGAGGCAGACCTATATCCCACTTGGGGGAAGCCAAGTGTTGGTTTGTCAGCATCAGGTCTGTGGTGCCATTTATTTTTAAATGGCCAGTGCATGTCATAGCAGTTACTGTTTTGAGAATCTGCCCCCTGGTGGTCAGTGTGCATCATATCTACCTACCAGACAGACGGACGCACACCTAGCCTTTTATATAGATGTAGTAATTCTCAAGAGGGAGCAGTTTTGCCCTCCCAGGGAGTTCTGATACTGTCTAGAGGCAGTTTTGCTCATTATAACAAGAGGGACTGTTCTGACATCTCATAGGCGGAGGCCCAAGATGCTGCTGAGTATGCCACAAAGCACACAAGCTCCCACACAAAGATTGCCCAGCCCAAAATGTCTAAAGGCCGACCTCCTATAAAAAAATTTTTTCGAAGACAAATTCCATGTCTAAACATTTTGATAGCTATTGGAGTAAAGTACTTTATAAGAAAGCAGTGAAAATGTTTGGTTTTTTGTTTTTTTTTTTTTGTTTGTTTTTTTTTTTTTTTTGCAAATCAGTGGAGACTGATTCAAATATTCAAATATTAATTATGAATTTTTATTAATTTCTTTCTTTTTTGTTGTTGGTGTTAGCAACAATTGTGTTAAATGAACTGAACTGGACAAGTGCCTTAGATGAAGTTTTCAAAAAAAATCGAGATGAAGATCCTTCATTGTTGTGGCAGGTGTTTGGCAGTGCCACTGGTCTGGCCCGGTATTATCCAGGTAAGTGCTTAGTGAGTTAGTGGGTACTCTGTGACCTTCTACGTTGAAACAAAAAGATAGTTACCATGTTACTTTGAAAAGGAAAGATTATTTCTCTTCAAATGGCTTTGTAGCTACCAACATCACTTTAAACCTTGACACCTGGAGTCAGGCCAGGTTGCTGTGAGACCAGTGATCAGGTATCTGTATATCTGGAACAGGAGGTGATCCTGAATCCTAAAACAGTTCTGAGAAAAAGAGCCACATGCTCTGCATGGACCAGTGAGTCACATTGAGAGTTGAAGAGAATTCCCAGAAACTAATTGAAATTTTTCTCTCTAGATCTGGTTTATCTTTCTATGTAAAATGCATTGATGCTTTTCTTCCATCACAAATGTGGATTTGTAGAAATGAATATAAAGGGAAATAACATGCAATTTCAATGAAATAAAGCTTTCTCAATGTGTCAAGTTGGATTCATTTTGAGGGCATCCCAGCAATGAGATCTATTCGATAAAGATGGATGGATTTTATACATTAAAATGGAAAAACCCTTTTGTGATGCCCTTTATATTTTCTTACAAAGGAGGGTTTGGAGAAGTAAATCTACCAGAAAGTGAAAAATTAATCACTAGTCTATCCTGAGAACCTGTTGAAAGGACTTTTAGTGAAATGTCTGATTCTCCACTTTTAAGAACAAGCTGACAAGCACAAATGCATTTTATTTCTCAAAGACATGGCTGGGTTATGGGATACTTAAATAACGACTTGAAACAGTATGGAGCAGAATTTTACCTGAGACTTGACTTTTTCTAAACATGTTTTGCAAGTAGAATTAGTTACAATATAAAAAAAATCACAAAAGTGAACATGGGGTGAAATATAAATTGGGTAATATCTAGCTTTGTATGGCAATAACTTGGTACCAGAGGGAAATTGATTATGCTAAGGAGGAAGTGCAAATCGGTATGGTAACAGAGAACTAGGAAGTAAAGATTGAAAAATAAGAGGAAGTAAAACCATTGTGCTCTAGAGTTGGAAGTAAAGATAGGTTGTGTTATAAGCCCTTTCAAAGATGGCTCTTTTTACAAATAGCAATTGACTTTTAAAAATACTATTTAATCACATTCAGTTCTTTCATCTTACATGCTAATTGAGGAAGAAGCTTTAACCTTTTAAAGCCCTATTCACATACTTTCAAATGTGTTGCCATTTGTCCACTTGTTCTGGGGGGAAAAAACTTTATAAAGGTTTAATTTAGCTGAATCCTTGAGATCCCTCTGGAATATTAGCTGTGGAAGCAACCCTGTGCTCTCCTGAAATACCTAGATTTGAGCAATGGTTGAACAAACTTTTGATTTCTTAGGTTCTCTGACACCTGGATATGGGTCTATAACCCCTCGCTGTGTAGCAGGTTCATCCTTGACCTTGCTATGTGAGCCATGATGCTCATCAGGTACTGTGGAGAACCCAGTCAGGGATGGCAGTAGTTGGGCAGCAACACTCAGATTCCTGAAAATCTTGTGAGCTATGCAACACAAATTTATTGAGTTAATTAAAAAAAAAAGTCCAAACTCATTATTTGGCTTGGCATTCAGAACCATGACTAATACTCCATAGCAGATGACCGAGACAAGTCTAAAATAATGATTGACATAACATCAGTTAGATCCCGGCAATTGGACCAAGGTTAAAGGCATTTTTAGGTATATGAAATTCACCTTTCTTTTTCTTTTAATGAGGGATAAAATGTGAAGTCTGTAGAATAAGAAAAATGCACTTGAACTTGCTAATTGGAAATGCAATTAGTTTTCATGCGAAATGGTGTTTCTACCAAGAGAATCAGCTTGCAATGCATCATTATGAGCTGGATTATTTCCTAGCAGCTGAAAAGAAAAACTGATACTCTCCTGTTATTTTAGATTGTATTAAGCTAGAAAATGGATTTGTAGTTCACATACTTTCTTGAGAATATAACTAACACACATTTAGTATTCTGATGTTATGTATAAACACCTTAAAGTCAGCAGTCCAACAACTGTCAGAGTACACCTTAAATATCATATGAAGTAGAAGCGTAGTTCACTAGATGTATTCAATGATAAACTTGCAGTTCATTTTTGATCAGAGGAAAGCATTGTCATGAATGATTAATATCACCTTTAACTTTGGCTTTCAGAAATTATATGCCCACAAGGTAGTTGTTATTCCCAACCCCTTCTTTCTTCTGTCATCCCAAAATCTTGTTGGAAAAACAAAAGAGAGTCTAAACTGAGCAACCTTTCACTTTTTGCAGGGATTTTAGAAGCCCTGATTTCTTCTCAAAGCATGTATCTTTCATTCTGCATCATTATGAATCAGATCATTTCACTGTATGGTTATTAGTCCTTTTTACTATTTGATCTTCCACAGCTCTGAGCCTATATAAATAATGTACCGGTTAATTGCCACAATGGGGTTTTACAACAAATTAATTAGTAATATCACAGAAGAAATCACGTTGTTTAATTTTACCATAATATAAATATCTTAACTATAATCAAGGGATATGTCCTAATAGTAGATATTTCAGAATACTGCTAAGAGAAGATTCTTAATGTTTTTAAATATAAACCATTTAAGAACCATGAATTATTAGAAATTTCTCTAAGGATCATATATCTAAACATGTTTGAGGAGAGGACTTGTTCAGCATAAAATTATCATCTAATTCATCAACTTCTAATGTCATACATTGGGTCTAAGTGGTGTGTGTGTGTGTGTGTGTGTGTGTGTGTGATTGTGAGAGAAGGTTTGTAAAGCATTTAAATTAAAATATAGATTTAATTCAGTTAAGTATACATTAATTACATTTTAAATCAATACAGTTAGACAAAAGTATTTTTTCTGATTACTGAAAATGGTAAAAGCTCTGAATTTACAAAAGGTTCTTGAATCTGTATTGAATTACTTCAAGTCATTTGAATAAATTTAAGGAAAACAGTTTTTGTATAGTTTTTAAATTATAATTTAATCTTTTAATTATAATTTCAAATGAACTAGTTATTATCCAAGATGTTAATAATAAAGTTAAAATTATGATATTGTATGATAACAACCCGAGAAAAACAACAATCTTTTTTATAGATAAAGATAATATAGCTTGGATTAAAATATAAGGATTAAATAATTGAAAGCATAATTTCCATGGATGCCAAATCTGTTTTTCTTTTAAGGCAATTTTTTCTGTTAATAGAGAAAAAGGAAAATATATAATTTCTTTTTTTTTTTTTTTTTTTTTTTTTGTAAAATATATTTTATTGATTTTGTACAGAGAGGAAGGGAGAGAGATACAGAGTTAGAAACATCGATGAGAGAGAGTCATCGATCAGCTGCCTCTTGCACACCCCCTACCGGGGATATGCCCGCAACCAAGGTACATGCCCTTGACCGGAATCGAACCCGGGTCCCCTCAGTCCCCAAGCCGACGCTCTATCCATTGAGCCAAACCGGTCCCGGCGAAAATATATAATTTCTAGACACCTAGTAAAACATATAAGTCAGCACCCAGAAAATCCCTCTGTCTTCAAATTATTTCTGAAATAATATGAAAAAGAAAATATGTTAACTTTCTTTTATATTGCTATATTGTTTTCCATTTTTTGCCATTTAAAAAAGAAACCAAAAATTATGCATAAAAATTGCATCTCCCATTTTAAAATTGTTGTGACTAAGAAGAATGTGTCAATGGTGTTTTGATTTATTTCAAATACTATTTTTATAGGTCATATCTAATATTTTGATGTAATTTCTCTAATTTTTAATGTTACTTAACTTATCTCTCCCTTTTATTCTCTTATTTTCCTTTTTTCCCCTCCTTTCTTTCTCTTAAGCTTCTCCATGGGTTGATAACAGCCGAACTCCAAACAAGATTGACCTTTATGATGTACGCAGAAGACCATGGTAAGAATGTTAGGTAATCATGAAAAGATTAAACAGACAAAAGTAGGCTACATTTTTTTGAGTGTGAAAAAGATGGATGGAATCTTTCCATTATTAGAATGAATATTGTCTAGTTATTTAAATGGCTCTAGTATTGTTAAAAATGTTAACAAATGCATACAGTTAAAAGTAAATGAAGATAAATTCACATGGGGACATACTTTCATTTGAATATTGTTGAAATTAATCAACAATTTCAAATCAACTACCTTTATGTGCAATTCCATTTCCAAAACTCTTTTAGCTGGTGGGATTTTTGTGGAAGGACCTCCAGTTTGCTTGGAGTAGAGTTCTAATTGAGCCTCTGGACTGAGTAGGAGATAGTTTGTCTTTGCTAATCAACTAATGGGAACTGGCCCCAAGCTATAAGAGCTGCCCTTACCTATATATTGCTTAGGTGTGTTTTTTTTTTCTCAACTAAGTATTATTTGTTTTTCACTAGTAAAGCAACTCATTCTCCTAATACAAAACTCAAAAGATACCAATAACTTATAATTTCCCAACTTATGTGTTGTGGGGTTTTAGAAATATATTTAATATATCTTTTCTTGAATTAGTTCACATTATGTCCAGTATACTGCTGTATAATCTACTCTTTTCATAGCAATACCCTTTAGTACCTGTTTGTAAGAGATACACTTTACATCATTTTAAAATAAGGACAATGAGGTAACGTATTTAAGAAAGCCCCTATTATTCAACATTTAGGTTATTTCTAACATTTTGCTAGAGCTCAGACAAATTCTAAGTCATAATGGTTGATTCAAAGTAAATGTACTTAATGCTTTTATGGTGCCCTGTTAAATATCCCCGTAGCAATTTACATGAACATCAACCATTATAGTCATGCAAAATATTATTAATTCACATATTATGTTTGTTAATATTTCTCCAAATGTGGTGGCTGTGAAGCAATGGGAGGTAAAAACAATTACTTCTCATGATTTGGATTCGGGAAACAGTTAAATTATTTTGCTCTTCTTCCTTTTTAAATAAAAGTACATAAGTAAATTTGCTTTCCATTGGAATATCCCATCAGCGCCTCCCCTGGCCCTCTTATAGAGATGCAAACTTGCCTGCAAGTTGTAAACTGTTTCATGAACACAGCAAGGAGTCCTGAGTAGATACTATTGGTGCTGGATGCTGTCTGTAACTAACTGACAAGTTATCGGGCAAACTTCTGGGAAGTAAGGTTTGGGTGAAGGGGCATCAGAGAGGAGTAGAAAGTTGAATTCAGGTTCAGCCCTGTCTGGTGGGGAAAGGAGGTCCCCGTGCCCTGGCCCTCTGTGGCCAGGCAACATGAACTTTGGGATCATTCAGCTGCAGTTAAGTTTCTCCCTCTACAATTCCTGAATTATCTGAGAACTCTCCTGTGGTCTCTTTAAAATGCAGAGATTCTAAGTCTGTAGGGCTGGGTTGAACTTGGGAATCAACATTTTAAAGTAACTCTCCAGGTGATTTCATTGATTCTAAAACGTTTAAGAACTACCACTGAAACTCTTGGCAATAACATCCTGTATTTTCTGTTTTTAATTTCTTTATTGTCCCTTTGCATTTCTCTTCTGTTGATGTTGCTTTTTCATGGTCCTAAACCACTTAGCTAGATATTGTGTTTAGTTTTTGGATTTAAAAATATGACTTAGTCTCATGATTATTTATTCTTACTGTTTCTTAGAATCCATTTTAAAATGTGTAGTCAACAAATTGAAGTTCAGAATAATCTCCCCCCCCCCCCAAAAAAAAATGGGCTTCCAGAAGTTACATTATTTTGCTCTTAGTACTAAAACATGTCTCTTCCTCCTTTTAAAATAAATATCTGAAAAAAATAATTGAAACAATATGCCTCTGGCACCCCTACTATTATAGATTTTTAACATGGACAATGCAAAATCATGAATATAAGAGCAGAACATTGTTGACTGAAATAGAATAGAAGTGGTTCTGTTTGCAAAATACCTTATCTCCAATTAGGAAATATCAGGGTAACAAATATCAATGTTTGCTATTTTGCTAGAGAAAATATATTTATTTGGAATTTGTTTCAGGTACATCCAAGGAGCTGCATCTCCTAAAGACATGCTTATTCTGGTTGATGTGTGAGTAGTTAAATGCTATATATTTATTTCTATATTGAGAATATAGGTGGATTCATAGATTACAGTGATGTGTTGGGACTAGAGAAATGATTGATAGGTTGGGGGAGAAGAACAAAATGTTATTATGATTACTTTTATATTCAGACAAAGAAGCCATATGAAGAAAGTAACAAAACAAAAATTATATTATTGAAAATAAAAAGAATCTATATTAGAATTGAAAATTATGGCCTGGCCTGGTTCTAAAAGCTGGGCTTTTTTGAAAAATAATAATTTGCTTCTAATTTGGGGGTTTATATTTAAGATATCTTTAAGGTATAGTCTGGCTAAAACAAAGCAGTTCCTACTACCAAAAAATAAAAATAAAAAATAAAAAATCATTCACTTGACAACTAGTCATTAAGATTCAAATAGCTTTGAGGGTTTTGACCACAAAACTGATAAGAGTAAAATGTATTAATGTCAATACTGGAACTTTCTCAAGAGAATTGCTAATGTATGTAAAAGAATTCCAGGAGTTTTTATATTGGTCATTTTATGTTATAATATTTCAGTATAAGGTGTGTGTGTGTGTGTGTTCCTCTAAAGAAGGAACAATGAAATGATAGAGCATAGAAAAAAAAAACATATATCCTGCTATAGAGGTTTAGTTTTTAAGAATAATACCAAGGAATAAAATCAAAGCATATGGCTTTGCTTATTTTTCCCTGAGAAAATAAAGGTGTGTCCTCAAATGTTCTTCACCACATTGGAAGAAACAGAACACAGTGATTTGTTGGCAAATATATCTGTATCACAGGCTAGCATTAACATTTGAAAATTTCTCCATTGTTACCAAAAGTAAACAAGTTCAAAACCTTATAACCTAGCCTGAGAAGAGAAGATAAATGAATTAGCCAAATGTAACTTAAATGTTCATTCTCATTTCATTTGTTAAATGCATTTAAGCTATATCTCATTTAAATTAAATTATTGAGGAATTTATATCATACATAAATCTTTAGGTACAAATTTTAAATGGTAATATAATGTGTAATAATCCTATTGTATATATAATTTCCAGAAATAATTTATCATATTAAAATGTTTGTAAACCACATGCATATCCCAAAATTGAAAGTATATATATTTAGTAGGTAACTATGAGCTATTACTAGTATTGTATTAAGGTGTGTTTCCAGAATTTTCACCTATTAGCATGGGGAGGAGAGGCAACTAAGAGCTGCCTGCAGTAGCTGTTAACCCTAGTTCGGCATCTTCAGGTCACGGAGATCTGAGTCAGAGTGGAGAGAAGAGGAGAGGAGGCCACTGTCCAGGAACAGAGAGAAGTGGAATGAATGAGGAAATTGTCTGAAAGGGAAGGAAGGTTGAGGGGGAGGAGTACATTGGACTAAGACCTACCTTGGTTATTACCAAGAACATAAATAGGAAAGAAAAATATGTTTGGGAATAATTTGTCATTCTGGGCATTAAGCCTATAATTGTTTAACAAGCAGTGAAGTGGAAAAGTGGGGAAAGGGAGGAGCTAGAGATGTAGAATTGGTAAGTTGTCTAGAGACGAGCCCCACAAATGAATGAGGTCATTCTTGGGCATCATAGAGTATGTAGAGAAGAGACAAATGAAGATTGAACTCCTGAAAATATCAACTTTAGGATACAAAATAAGGCCTTTTGTCCACGTTAAAAAAATGCCTCTTATCATATTTGTTATGCTGCTTCATAATTATTGGTGTAATCAAGTAAAACGCTGGATAACCATGAGCAATGACCTTAAATGTTTACCTGCAGAGATTATAACTCCTCACTTCTAACTTGGATAACCAAGCTAGTATTAAGTTAAGTTTCTTGAGTAAGTGAATATGCCCTGAGTATCCATATTTTCTTAAAATAGTCATGTGTCTTTTAATTTTTATAATTGTGTTTAGAAATATATATATATTCTGATGTTATATTAAAAGATTTATTCCTACACTATTAAAAATATGACTTTTTTCTACTGATTTTTTTAAAGACAAAATTATTGGAATATTATATAAAGATCTAGAGCCAGTACATAAGTTGTCTTTACTTAAGGTGTCTGATTTTGATTAGATGGTCATTAACATGCATGCACTCATTTTTTATAGGAGTGGAAGTGTTAGTGGGTTGACACTTAAATTGATCCGAACGTCTGTCTCCGAAATGTTGGAAACCCTATCAGATGATGATTTTGTGAATGTAGCTTCAGTAAGTATAAGATGACTGGGCTTATGCAGTCATCTCATTTGGGGGAAATTAAGTCTGCAATTTCTATCTCCTGTGACTTTAAAATACTCTGCAGTGTTTTATTATGGACAGGCTGAGATATTTCTGATCTGTTACAAGACTATCTCATTGATCTATTCCTATCTTGTTACTAATTTTCCTTTATTTCTTCACCAAGGTCCTTTCTCAATGTCTAAGCCTTCATTCACAAAGTAATTGAAGCAAAAAACATTACACATATTCTCCTTTACTCAGAGAAGCTTAACCAGGTGGCATGAACCCTTTCACTCATTGATGTCATTGAGACCCTTAATAAAATTTATTTTTCAATTTAACAAGAGAACCAATAGATATTTGAATGTGCTTCTTTTAGAGTTTTATTTCCCCAGAACCATCTTAGACCTCCTTGTTCATAGTGTACTGAACTCTGAAACAAGTGAGATAGAACAAAATAAATGGTACCATGTCTCATTTTAATCCATAGAAGTGAGGCAAAAATGTCCTGGCTGGTGATTGATGGATGTAATTTCCCATTTGAAGTGGATATTTTCCTAGAGCTGAACGTGAGGGAAGAGGAATTTGTGGTGAGGTCATTTTGTGTGGAATACAGGAGAATGGCTTTGCCTTTGAAACCACTGGGAGGAAGAAGTTCAAGCACGTTGCCTGCCATGGATTTTTCCCCTTAACTGAGAGGGCACCTTGGGTAGTGAAAGAGGTAGAAGGCAGGAGAATGGGGTATAATCCCTTGTCAATCAGAGATCCAGGTAACTAGATTAAAGATATTTACTGAGAGGAAGAGAATTAATCCTAAGGTGCTTTTCTGCATAATATCCCCGGCTAAAGGTATCTATGAAGAATAGAACTCAGGATCAATGAAGGAAAACCCCCTGAAAAATGTCCATAGATGATATAACTCTCTGGTTAATAAATTGGAGCTAGTTCATAGTTTAACGAGTCCAGCTATACAAGGAACCCCTCAAACCTCTTATTGAGACTTCTTTTCATCTGTCTATGTTTTCTGGAGCTGCCATTTAGAATGCCACAGACTGGATAGCTTAAACTACAGAAATGAATTTCCTGCTGAAACCGGTTTGGCTCAGTGGTTAGAGCTTCAGCCTGCGAACAGAAGGGTCCCAGGTTCGATTCTGGTCAAGGGCATATATCTTGGTTGTGGGCACATCCCCAGTAGGGGGCGTGCAAGAGGCAGCTGATCAATGACTCTCATTCGATGTTTCTAACTCTCTATCTCCCTTCCTCTCTGTAAAAAAATCAATAAAAGATATTTTTTTTAAAAAAGAAAAGAAAAATGAATTTCCTCATAGTTCTGGGGGCCAGAAGTTCAAGATCAAGCTGCCAGTTTCCCCTGAGTTCTCTTTCCGGGGCTTGTAATAGCCACCTTCTTGCTACCTCTTCACATAGTCACCTCTCAGTGTGTGCAGACTTCTGCTGCCTCTTCCTCTTTTTATAAGGATACATGTCCCTATAAACGAACTGCTCCAGCTTAACTTAATCATCTGGTTGAAGTTCTTATCTTCAGAACCTGTTTCATTCTGAGATACTGGGTTTGGGACTTCAATATATGAATTTCAAGGGGACAAGATTCAGCCCATAATAACATCTGGGCACCACCTTCCATGTCCAGATGTTTTTCTGCTTCTGATGAACTTTTAGAAACCTTAGCTTGTCTGACCCCGTGTGTTACCTCACCATTTAGTCTGTAGCTCTCAAGAAAAGTGATCAGAAAAGACAGTCTTTTTATTTCATTTGTACATAAACAGCCATTGTGATGGTTGCTAACAAAATATCATATTTGACATCGCAAAATAGAAAGTCGTAAATTCAGTCCAGATTTGTCATATCTAAGTTTCTTTTGTTGAGGAACAGTAATTTTTATGCGTAAATCATGTAGGAGATGTCAAAATGAATGCTGCATCATTTCCTAGTGACTGTTGTTTTCCAGTGCTGTTTTTTGGTTACAGAAAGGAAGCCTGCTGTTAGGCAAAGCTCATATGCAAGTATTATTTAGCTGTTTTCCCACTAATCCAGTTATACGTTTTGACAGAAGTATAAGTAGTAGATGATAGGAGCCCCAATTCAATTATAGCATGTTCTGCTTTACAGGCAAAATTTCAAATGTTGACACGGGAGTGGAATTTGTTTACGAAAGTGAGGGAATTTGACGTTTTAGAAATAAAGTTGTGAGCTAGTGGATAATGAAAGGAAAATGTATGCTGATTATGGGCAACGTGTGAAAAGTCAGCAACTGAACAAGATTCTCATATAATTCCATAAAATCACGTATCTCCTTACTTAAGAATTAGCGGCAAATATCAAGATTGTACTAAGGTTCCTTGAGTGCATTTTCTTCCAGAAAGCTTTTAGAATTCATGCAAATTGAAAAAAAAAATGTTGGCTGTCTTTGAGTAGTCATCAGAATGAAATAATCAAAATATAATTCCTTATAATATCGTTGCTATTAGTTGTAAGAAATAATTTTTTTAACCCTCACCCAAAGATATGTTTTCATTGATTTTAGAGAGAGATGAAGGGGAAGAGAGCGAGTGAGAGAGAAACATCAATTGGTTGTTTTCCATACAGGCCCTGACCACCGGCAATTGAAGTTCCAACCTAGGTATGTGCCCTGACCTGGAATCAACCCTTTGGTGTATGGGATGATGCTCCAACCAACTGAACCCACTGGCCAGGGCTGAGAAACTTGTTTTTAAAGTAAACTCTCCACTTCCCCTAGATTGTAGTCATACATAAATTGTGGTCAGTAAAGGACAGTTTTAGGAGTGACAATCTCTAAATGCAGTGCAAAATGTTGAGTGAGGAACCACCACCATGTAGGAGCTGGGGAAGGGATGATCTTGACATGAGGGCAACCTTAGTAAGGCTCACCTCTTGTTAAGTGACCTCCTTCCCACTCTTCTCAGACAATTCTGCCTCTCGGACGTACTCATTGAATTGCATACGGATTGTGCATAACCTTTGGAACAACTAGTTCCATGACCTTATACAAGTTATGTGAGGCTTATGAATCTGTTCCTTCCTCCTTGAAAAGGACAGATCACATTTAACTTGTCAAAAAGCTGTTGAGCACTACATGAAAAATGCTTATTTATGGCAGTTGTTATTATTACCTTCATATTCCTCTAATAAGTTTCTAACAACAGCTGGCAGACAGTTCTTCATGAATCTGTCGCATTTTTTCCAGGCTAAGCACCAACAGCCAATCTGCTCAGCTTTGTGTACATTCCAGGCAAGAGAGGGGAGAGCTGTCTTCACGCCCAGAAGAGGTTCACATTGCTGGGGAGGGAAGGCGTGGTCTCCTTTGATGAGGATGATGGGCTGTCTGCCAGCAGCCCCTTGTAAGACCAGGGACTTCCTCATGTGGAATCTCTTGCCTGAAACTCCTTAATGGCCAGTGCGATGACCTCTGGCTCTTCTCTTATCCCCTGTGGGAATTGGGTTTGGGGTGCTAATAGGTCTCAGTCTGGTTTTTACTGCCTTTCGTCTCTCATCAGAGGACTTGTATTTTTGGGAGCTAGTATCTCTGAATTGGTAGAAGACTAACTCCTTTGCTTAAAAGTAGGATGAAATCTCACACACGTTCCAGTTCTTGACCTGATCATTTAACACCAACTAATGTCGTTGGGGTTTGTTGAAATCTGCAGTTGCACTGTATCTGCAAGAGAGAGACACAATTTGGATTGCTCCTTTTCCTATGAGCTTAGAACTTTTTTTTTTTCCTTCTAAAATATGCCTCGTGGTTTTCTCAGTTTAGGAACTTTTCTGCATATGATAATGAGCACAGTTGTCAGTTGTTGCCCAATTTAAATTTAAAAGTTATTTTTATTTCCTTCCAAAGCAGGCCCTCATTTTGCCAGTGCTTGAGTAAAAGAAAAGCTATTTGGCATGCCATTGCCATTTTGCGACAAATGAATTCTGGGAGAGTAATTCCATTTCACATCTTATAAAATAGCCATCCATTTAGATTTCAGGAAAATTGTATGTTGATTCATATCTCATTTATGTCAACAAAGAAGAATATTGTAGTTTATACCCTTTATCCTCACAGTGAGGCTTGTGGCCAAGCAGCAAGAGCAGCACCTGGCAGCTGGCTAGAAACCAGAATCTCAAACTCTGCCCCGATCTCAGGATCCAGTGTCTGCAGTTAGCAAGTCTCCCGGGTGACTCCTTATCGGCGGGAAAACCAGAGAATGGGGCTCATGAGGGAGGCACATTTTGCAGAGACCAGTGGGCATCTGTCTGGGGCTTATTGTAACTAATCATGCTTATTCATGATTTAGATTTTAAGATCTTAGAACTTCATAGAATCACTAATACAATGGATATTTTTATTTTATAGCCTTTTGTTTGGGGGAGGGTGAAATTAAAATAAAAAAAAACAGGAAGAAGGAGTAAAATTAAGCTCATTTAAAAAACCTGAAATTACCTCTTTTACATACTTTTAAATGTAAAGATGGGTGCTTTAAGAAATTATCTTCTTTTAAATTACACAGAGAAGAAACTGAAGATTATGAAGGAAAGACTGAAATAAAGGAGAAATTTAGGGATTATATAACAAGACAAGTAATCAAGGTTATTTAGTTAAAAAAAAAAAAAAAGATTGCTAGAGGATAACTTAATTACTTCGGGAGTATAAGGAAAGTTTATAAGAAGGTGTGGACAAGCATGGTAAATATTTTTCCATTAATTATAAGGTGCAAGAAAGATGGCTTTGGTACTTAAAAATTAGTTGCATTTGGAGTTTTAGAAATAAGAAAGTAATACTTAAGGTGAGGCAGAGGGAATATTTCTAAAACTGGGCTATTATTTTTAAAATAAAAGCTATCAACTTATTTACTGGGGCTTGAAGGACTAGGTAAAGACTACAAGGCATGCCCAATAAGCACAGATGTATGTCATTACATGTTGGGTAAAATTTTCAAAGTGCATTTATTCATTTAATTTAAAGT